CCTGTCAGTTGTTGTTTTTTTTTTTTTTTTTTTATTTTGGCTTAGGTGGAGAAAGTATAGAACTTCTGTCAGGATTTTGCTTTTGATTCAAAAGGAGATGGGAGGAACCCTTTAGTCCAATTTCAAACATAAAGACCACATTAAAAACCCATTAGAGGTTCAAATGTTCCCCTGCTATACTACAATAAAAATTATTTTATTGCTGTCTGTGGTCTTGTAGGTTTCCTGTGACTTTTTTGTCTCAGTAACCACTGTCACTGGGACATAAAGTAACTAAATCTTCCCCTTTGGGAAAATTATAGCAATAAAAGCCTGAAAGATTTTAAATACATTTATAACTAAAATAAAAATTCTAGCAGTATGTCTCGAGGAAAGAGACTTTGAGGCTAAAAGTCTAAGCATTTAGTTGCAAAACTTTATGAAGGTACAACACATATCTAACTCTTCCTTATAAAATTGTAACAGCAATGTTCCCTCAGGCAATTGGCACTAACCTCCAGCCCCTGCCCATAAGGATATGACAAACTTCTCAAAAACAACACAGACAGTGACTTGACTCTAGATCTCTGTAGAATGACTTGTAGTAGGAATAGCAATGATGCTGCATAACCCACAGGCAAGTCATCAACACTCACACAGCATGCTGGTAGGCAAGTATAACAAGTCATACACTATGCTGCCATTTCAACAATACAGTCTGGCTGTGGGGCACAGACATTGGCTATGACCGAATTTTCCTCTGCTGTAATAAAGGGAGGACAGACATTGGCTGCAGGGAACACACATAGACTAAATAACCACTTTGCTCTAATAAAGGGAGGACAAACTCTGGCTGTTGGACACACACATAGGCTATGACTACTTTTCTCTCTGCTCTAATAAAGACAGGATGTATGGCAAAAACACAGGCTATGACTGCTTTTATCACTGCTATAATAATGGGAGGTCAGGCTTTGACTGTGGGAACACGTATAGGCTATGAATATTACAAATGTAAATCCGCGCTGTGCAAATCAGTCAATATGGCTACTAACACAAAGATCTGATATACAAAACCCGAAAGGAAGTAAAACAAAAAATAAAAAGTGTTGCACCACACATATAAACATCAATAAATTAATATATAACATCTCCAGTGCAATATCAAGGATATGAAGGAAAATAAATATAACAAAACAAAAAAATCTATAAAGAAAATCAATGAGTCCCATAAATACAAAATGTGACAGTGAAAAGGTTTATCATCCACCAGCTTCTTAAATGACTCCCATCTTCCATGTGTCAGAAAAAGCATGAACTTCCACCTTCTTGTGAAATAAAAACTCACCAAAATATATGCTTCAAGTAACTACAGCTTCCATAGCATGTGTAGCAATGAAGATCCTTCCTAGATATGGGTACCAGCCTCATGTCTCCTCATGATAATTGTGAATATCTGCCATTAAAAATGTTGGTTTATTTCAGTGTATCTCTTGTATGCTTTGGTTATTGCTTTTTCAAGTGACTGGTGTTGACACACTTTGAGATCTTCTCTATGATTGGCAGAATAAAGCACACTGCATTACTGGTAGTGGTTGGCTAAAATTCTCATAGATGAGAGAAAATTTCAAAGTGTGTCAACAACGCTTTTTACTTGGAAAAACAATAACCAAAGCATACAAAAAATCAACCTAATTTTCAACGGCAGATCATCTAGTATGTATGGCAGTGGTCAGTAAATGGTGGGCCGCGGTCCAAGAATGGCCCCAGTAGCGCTCCCTTTCCGGACCACCAGCCCGCAATGACAGATCTGCCGCTCAGCAGGGTGGTCCTCACGGCAACATAACTCGTCCACGAGTGGAAATAAGGTGGGGGCAGTGAGCAGTGCCGGGACTAGGGGTGTGTGGGAGGGGTGGCGGTGCAAGCAGTGAAGGAGGAGATTCAGCTTCCAGCTCTTCCACCCACCCCCACACCTCCCTTCCTTCCTTCCACCCACCCCTCCCTTCTACCCCTTTCTCCCTTCCTTTCACTCACCCCTTCCCTTCCTTTCACCCCCCCCCCACCCTCCCTTCCTTCCACCCCTTCCTTCCACCCACCTATTCCTTCCTTCCACCCACCACTCCCTTCCTTCCTTCCACCCACCATCCCTTCCCATTACCCACCCCCCTCCCTCCCCCCCCCCCCCTCCCCCCTCCCTTCCTTCCTCCTTCCTTCCTTCCTTCCTTCCTTCCTTCCTTCCTTCCCCTTCCCTCCCCCCTCCCTCCCTCCCTCCCTCCCTCCCTTCCCTCCCTCCTTCCTTCCCCCCCTCCCCCCCTTCCTCCCTCCCCTTTCACCCTTCCCTTCTTTCCTTCAGACCCCTTTCTCCCTTCCTTTCACCCCCCCCACCCCCCCCCCCTCCCTTCCTTCCATCCCTTCCTTCCCCCCCACCCACCCCCCCCCCCTTCCCCCCTCACCCCCCTTCCCTAAACATGAGATTCGGACCTCGGCCAGAAAAATTTTTTAATGCCCGGACCTCCTTGAATTCAATACCCCTGATTTATGGGACTCTTTGATTTTCTTTAATAATTGTTTGTATCAATATACTTATTTTCCTTACATAGGCTATGGCCTTTCTGCTCTAATATTGGGCTCCAGCTGGTGTGAACACACTTTGGCTATGACCATGTTTCTCTCTGCTCTAATAAAGGGAGGACAGACTCCGACTGTGAGGAACACACACAGGCGATGATCACATTTCTCTCTTTTTTGAAAAAGGGAGGACAGACCCCGACTGTGAGGAACACACACAGGCTATGATCTAATTTCTCTCTCTTTTAATAATGGGAGGACAGACTCTAGCTGTGGGGAGCACACGTAGGGTATGACCACTTTTCTTTCTGTTCTAATAAAGGTAGGCCAGACGTTGAATGTGGGGAACACACGTAGGCTTTCACCACTTTTCATTCTGCACTAGTAAGGGGAGCACAGACTCTCTCTTTGATCTAATAAAAGGGGGAGAGACTCTGGCTGTGGAAAACACATATAGGCTATGATTGATTTCTTGCTACATTAATAAATTAAGAGATTTCTTACCAAAATGATAGCCAAGCCATACAAAGAGAAATAACAATGGCTGCCTTTTAAAACAACAAACACATAAACAGTAAACATATTTGTTTCCATTCAGGTATAGTTCTCAATGTTTTCTCATTTGTAAATCAGAAAAATGAAAAACTAACATATTATTCATGAAACAATGTGCCGCTTTGTGTCGGTCTATCACATAAAATCCCAATAAAATACATTTACATTTTTGGTTGTAACATGACAAAATGTGGAAAATTTCAAGGGAAATAAATACCTTTTCAAGGCACTGTATAAAATAGGCCACAGAAATAATACAGTAGCCTTTTAAAACTAGTCAATTTCCAGAAACATCCCATTAACTGCTAGCTCTATTAAATTTAAGTCAGTCATTTGAAACAGGATAACTTGGAATGGTTGGGTTTCACTCAGTGGAATGGAGATGTTTCAGAAATTCTTTCTATCATATCTGTACTATCTCTAAATGTGAGTTTGATGATTGCATTATCCAGTGTTATCAAATTGTGGTCACCATTTTCCTAAAAGTCTTTTTAATAGTATTTTTAGTTGACATTAAGATAAAAAAATAACATAATTAGCCTTTGAAAGTACATTGCAAGTGTGATTTACCGCTACTGTTTTACATTTACCTTCTCCACTAAGTGCAAGGATTCTATTTCTGCTGAGTCCAATAAATGCACTTTTATGATCTTTTCCTATCTTTCCTGGATAAGCAAATATACTGTGAGTTGGTGTCATCTGTCAATGACGATAAGTTAAAGATACAGTACTAGGTAACAAAGGTAATTTTGACACACATAAACTGACACATATGCGTAAGTGTGTGTATGCTGGGCTAGTAAAAAGTAAACTTTATTTTTGAAACTGCATATATAAATTGCAGTATGTATATATATATATATATATATATATTTTCATATTGTATGTATACAGTATACACTGTATCAAAATGTGTACCAAATATAAAAACTCATGATGAGCAAACTGATTTGCAAAAAAGGTGGATCTACAAATTGATTTACTTGTATGCATGGATGCAGATTTACCCATATAATTCTTGCATCATAACTGATTGGGTTCTTTAGTTGAGTGATTATTTCAGATCAGACATAATTGTAATCAAAATCATATTAGGATATATACTAAATACGAAAATTGGTGAAACTCCATGATTAGTTCAACTTTTAAACAGTAACATTTATACAGTAATAAATGCATGAACAAAAAAAAGGAAATATAGTTTTGACACAGTAAATACAATGTATTCATCTGTCCCCCTGAGGTAAATACTAGAAATTTAAAATATATGTTGGATTTAATAAAAAGCATAAATGCATGTATTTAAAAAAACAATAAAGAAGAAGAATACAATTAATGTACAACACAACAAAACAGTTTAAACCTGACACTATTCTGGTGCCCAACTGAATAAGAAAGCATCCTGAGCTGACAGTCTGGATTGTGGGTTATAAAATCTTTAGATTACCCACTTTAAGACAGCTTACCGTACCTGTACGTTGGCAGTTTCCAGTAGCATACTGGGATGATTCCTGCAGCTACAGGCATCACCCTGGTTCTCTTTTTTGTAAAAGCAATCCTAGTGGCTTTTTTGGATTGCTTTTTTAGATAAGCCACCCTCTGGTTCCATTGGTTTACCATAGAGATGACAGGGAATCAGAAAGTCCCTGAACATCTCTATGGTATAGGAAAAAGGAAATTTGAAACACTGCTGCGCAAATACTGTGTGACATAAAAAATTGCAAGTCCCACCATTTTAGTCTCTATGGGCTCTGTTTAAAAATACACCATGGCGACATGTGCATAAAATCAAGCACCTAGGCATGCAGACTGCTTCTACAAACATTTGTGAAAGAATGGATCGCTCTCAGGAGTTCAGTGAATTCAAGCGTGATACCGTGATAGGTTGCCAGCTGTGCAATAAGTCCATCCATGAAATTTCCTTGCTACTAAATATTCCATGGTCAACTGTTAGTGGTATTATAACAAAGTGGAAGCAACTGGGAACAACAGCAACTCAGCCACAAAGTAGTAGGCCATATAAAATGACAGAGCGGGGGCAGCACATGCTGAACCACACAGTGCTCAGAAGTCGGCAACTGTCTGCAGAGTCAAAAGCTAAAGACCTCAAAACTTTGTGTGGTCTTCAAAGTACAACAACAACAGTGCATAGAGAGCTTCATCGAATGGGTTTTCATGGCCGAGCAGCTGCATCCAAGCCTTACATCACCAAGTGCAATGCAAAGCGATGCAGTGGTGTAAAGCATGCCGCCACTGGACTCTAGAGCAGTGGAGACGTGTTCTCTGGAGTGACGAATCATGCTTCTCTGTCTGGAAGTCCGATGGACATGTCTAGGTTTGGTGGGTGCCAGGTGTACATTACTTGCCTGACTGAATTGTGCCAAGTGCAAAGTTTGGTCGAGGGGGGATTAATGTGTGGGGTTGCTTTTCAGGGGTTGGGCTTAGCCCCTTAGTTCCAGTGAAAGGAACTCTTAAGGCGTCCGCATACCAAGACATTTTGGACAATTTCATGCTCCCAACTGTGTGGGAACAGTTTGAGGATGTCCCCTTCCTGTTCCAACATGACTGCACACCAGTGCACAAGGCAAGATCCATAAAGACATGGATGAGCAAGTTTGGGGTGGAGGAAATTCACAGGCCTGCACAGAGTCTTGACCTCAACTCAACAGAACACCTTTGGGATGAATTTGGGATGAGTAGAGATTGTGAGCCAGGCCTCTCATCCAACATCAGTGCCTGACCTCACAAATGTGCTTCTGGAAGAATGGTCAAACATTCCCATAGACACACTCCTAAACCTTGTGGACAGCCTTCCCAGAAGAGCTGAAGCTGTTATAGCTGCAAAGGGTGGGCCAACTCAATATTGAACCCTAGGGACTAAGACTGGGATGCCATTATTCATGTGCGTGTAAAGGCAGGCATCTCAATACTTTTGGCAATATAGTGTATATCAGGTTTGGGGGTTCTATGTAATTGTCTAGCAAAGTTTTTGCATTTAAACAAAAAGTGTTGAAAAAGGCCTTAAGTGGCCACAGCAACTCTTTCAATACTTTAATTCTTAATGACATTTACTGAAAAAAACCATTACAGCCTCCTCAGTACATGTGCAGCTGTTTGTTTCATAAAAGAATGCTTACTTTTCAAGTTGTCCTCCGCATTTTGTCCTGCAGATGAGGGTTGGATGTACCCACAAATGAGAACTGGTAAATGTCTTTAAAGGTAAACTATTCCTTAAAGCCAAAGTGCAGCCAACATCACAGCACAATTGACCTAACTTAAGGGACCTAATGGATAATTGATATCTTCATCCCCTCCATTCATAGAGACGGATTATTTTCTATAAATGAAACATATATTTTTGGTGATACTTCTTTAACCACTTGAGCTCCGAAAGATTTTACCCCCTTCATAACCAGGCCACTTTTTGCTATTTAGAACTGCACTGGTAATTGTGTGGAGCTAGGTGCTGCAGTGTAAGAGACATGCTGTTAGGAGAAGGAGAGAGCAAAAAGACAGAGATTAGCTCATCAGTCTTCTGCTTTGGCTGGGCTATAGATCCTTCATCGGCTTGAGGAGATCAGAGGACCTGCAATTCCTTGGGCATAGGAGAAAAGAGGCTGCAGGGGCCACTTTTACAGAATGAGGTAACCTGCAGGAGTGGGGATTGGATAAGTAAAACTGCTTTTCTTGATCCCTAGACCTAAATGAGGCAGTTCCGCTACAAAGAAACATTTGTATGGTCACCTTTAAAGATAAATTCCACACAGATATAAAAAGCTCCTTGGTCATTAGTGCATCATTACAAGTGTTTTTTTTTCTTTAAAAGAGCAGTATTGCGGGGGCGTGGGCAGGGGCAGACTGACCATTTGGAAACTCGGGCACTGCCCGAGGGCCTGGAGTCAGTAGGGGGCCCCATGAGATGCCCCTGGTACCTTTTTCATAGGCTTTTTTGAGTTTGGGCAAGGACACAGTGGCCCCTGATCCCCTATTGCCCGGGGGCCCATGAGTTGTCAGTCCACCCCTGGGCATGGCCAGTGCACAAGGAGTATGGCAGCTTAAGCCTATAGCTCTTGGCACGTAAAGAGGATTTTAGGGTGAAGCAATCCACCAATCTCAACTTATCCAGCCAGCAGGACTACAGCTCCACATCAGGACAGAGAAGAGGAAAGCCACTAAAAAGCCTCAAAAACTGACACCATTCTTCTCACAGCCAGCGGTGTGAGGCAGACAGGATTTCAGCTGCTCAGCTGGACAACAGGCACACTCCACTCCTACAGTGCATGGATCTGCACAGCAGGGGGACTCTGGAAAAAAGTTCAGCCATCTCCACAGAGCTCTCCATTTGCCTACACTCCTGTCTCTTGCTGCCCTGCAAAGTCAAAACAAAGGCTGGAGGATCCTGGGCTCCATGCTAATGAAGTGAGCCCTTTTAGCTTATCTACTGATGACACTAGAGAGTTGCAAAATTCCATAGCCTCTTTCCCCACAGAGAACCAACCAGTAATGGACACAACATTAAAAGACATGCTCATTTCTCTGCATCCCTCAGGTCACACTGATTTCATGTCTCCTATTCAGCGCTTTTCCACAGAAGTGAATTCTCTAAGGGACAGGGTAAAGCATGTGGAACAGAAAATAAGGGAATTTGCAACCACCATAAATGATTTAGTAGATGCTCATGAGGATAGCGTGGAGGACCAAGAATGTCTGAGAGACAAACTGGCAGATTTAAAGATTGGTCACACCATAATAATTTTAAACTAAGAGGCATTATAGAATCTGTATAACCATCAGAGCTTAGTGGATATGACCAAGATTTAATATAAGCTTTACTGCCTGACGTAGACAAAATAAGGCGGTTATTGATCAAATCCATCGCATTCCTAAGCCATCCTTTATCCCTGAAAATCTACCTAGAGATGTGCTCATGAAGTCCATTTCTTTCATGTGAAGAAGTTGCTACTGGACAAAGCCAGATATCTGGGTAAACTCACAGCTCCATATGCCTTTATTCAGCTATGTACTGATCACAGTACACACTTCAGAAGTGGAAACAACTGAACACTATTACCAAGGCATTAAGATGTCATAAGATTGCTTACCACTGGAAATATACCTCTACACTCTCAGTCTTAAGAACAGCAAATCCCATTTTATTACATCCCTGGACATGGGCCTACAACTTTTCTAAACTTGGAACATCATTTTGAGACCCCAGAAACCTCCAATGAAGATCATTCTCCTGCTAGAGTTGAGGACTATTGGCAGGTGGTGTCCCGAAAGGGAAAGCGTACTGCTCAGTGACTACTTTCATTTTCTTAATGTGATTTGGTAGTTTTACTTCACCCTAAAACACATAAAGTGCCAAGATTTATACATATTGTCACAAGTGAACTTTGCCTTCCACCATTGGATGCATGTGGCTTCTAAAAGCCTTTTTTTCATTCCACATATGGAATTATTTTTGCAAACTATTTTCTTAAATTTTTTTACCTGTTTTGCCTGAGTCAGCTTTCATCATCTTTCTGTACTCTCTGTTGCCTCTTTAATGACTTAGAAGATGATCATCGCTACTCAGTCACAGTCCAACCAGCTTTGTTGAGTACCACATGTTGCATTACCTGTACCCTGTTGCTTATCCATGTAGTGTTACCATACCACCACGAGGGGTCTTAAAATCCTTTCTCTGAACATCAATGGCCTAAATCATTCTGCTAAAAGGCACTCACTGTACCGTGAAGCACTTCACCAGCAATGTGATGTACTTTGCATTCAGAAAACTAATTTTCATCAGACCTCAGCCCCAAATTGCTCCCAACACAACATCCCTCATATATACCAAGTACAAATGGCTGCCAAAAAACAGGGTATTATGGTAGCTATTAGAGATGCTGTGGACTTCCACATTCATCACTCAGCAGGTCGCTATATCATTTTAAAATGCTCCATGAACAGCACACAATATACCTTAGTAAATGTATATGCACCAAATTCACATCAACTTGCCTTTCTTGGGAAACTACAGGAAAAAGTAACTAAACTACAACAAGGTCTATTACAGGTCTGTGGAAACTTCAACTTAATGCCAGATTGTAGCATGAATACTACAGCTGAGAATACATGCCGTTCCTTCTGTCTACAACCATTTATATACAAACATTAACTGTTCAATGCCTGGAGATACTGTCACGCAAATGAAAGGGACTTTATGTACCTGTCATCCAGGCATTACACATATTACAGGATTGACTTATTTTTTGTGACAAGGATCTACTCTTTAGGGTCTCTAAAACAATGATTCATGAAATCACCTGGCCGGACCATGCTCCCATGAGCTTGGGTTATAGAAGATGGTCCTCTTAATACCATCACTTGCTATGGTGATCCAATCAAGCCTAGTTGTAAAATACAACCTACCGTGCCATTCTACAACAACGCTTGACAGAACTCTTCCAACAAAAGCAATTCTGTACAAAACCCTTTCAGTTTATGGAATGCTCACAAAGCTTTCATGCATGGGATCTTTATCCAATTACGATCCCAACAGAAAAATATTAAAATGCAGCATATGGGTGATGTTCTGGCTGATAATAAACAACCGGAAGCACAAAATAAAAGTAGTCCCTGACCTGGTATCAAGTATTTGTTAACTAAGCAGAGACATGATTTGAGGGCCTTGTTGCCCGACTCCTATGAAAAATCTGTTAGGACACTTAAGATGAACTACTTTGTATCTGGTAATAAGGCAGGGAAGATTTTAACAAGAACATTAAAAGGCCACTTTAATAAGACTAAAATCCCTTACAACACCCAGTTTATAAAACTCAATTATACGACTCGTTGGATATAGCTGTCAGCAGCCATCGTGGCGCGTGGCTCTGAGCAGGCGCAGTGTGCCGATTCGCACTAGCATGCGGGCACTAGGTCCTGGGCGGCTGCGACAACAGCGGCACTAGCGCATGCGCACTCGGGATCGCGCGCGCGCGCGCCTGGCACCAATGACAGTGCAGGGCGCACTATATAAATCCGCTCTGCACTAACACTGGTTGCCATATGGTCTAATCTCCCTGTTCCTGCTTCTGTGTACCTGTTATTGATTGCTGCTGACCCTGCTTGATCCTGACCTTGCTGACTTCTCCTGCTCTGATCCCTGGCCTGTTTTCGCTTCTCTTTTGGATACCCTCATTGGATCTGCCCTCCTGTTACTGACCCGGTGAGTGACCCGACTACTCTGTGCCTGCTGCCTTGTACCGCGCTGTCCCCA